CTGCTGCTGCTGCTGCTGCTGCTGCTGTTTTTGATGATGCTGTTGTTGTTGCTGCTGCGAATGATTCTCATACTTTCTACGAGATGACAACTGTTCCTGCCTCTTTAATGTTTTCTCCGTGGACGACGAAGAAAGATGATTCTCGTTAATAGACTTGCTCGCCTCTGTCGTCTCTTGCGATGGTTCTTGTTTCATTTTATCCAATCGTTCATTAAAACCCTGAAAGAAGCGGGTGAAATCCCACTCCTTCAATAGAAGTTGCTCCTCCACCTCGGAGCGCCGGTTGTTGTTAGCTGTGCCGCGATCGTCTGACATCTGACTAAGTTTCTAGGGAGCGCGCACGAAGGCGATAAACAAAGTGACAAAAGAAGAGACATTCACACAAAAAGAAGAAAATCATTAGCGTGCAGTGATACATAACGCGGGCTAGCTGTGATATTGGCAGTGCATTGCGATCAAGTGTAATTATCAACCGATCAATGGAATTTATCTTCTAACGTATATTGGTGACACACGTTCCACACGAAGCAAGATAATGTAAACAATAACATCTACTATACTTGATACGATGTTATGCGATGTTTGTCATGAGGAACATTCCACGATACGAAGCTACATGAAAAGAAATCGTGAGATTCAAACTGATCTCATCTATCCAGCTATTGGGAGGAATTTTTCAAGCGTTGAAAAAACTTTTTCAGCTGCGGATTTTAAAATATTCTGTTTCAAGTATGTTCAATGCAGTATCCGCATAATTATAATCTTTCTGCAAATAGATCAGATATAGATAGATACTCGTCATTATATACACTGTACACCTCGTGATATTATTGATCAGTTCGTCATTTCATCGATCGTTTTTCCTCTTTTTATATCTATATTCTTTGTATGTTTAGTTTAACGATTAATCCAGTATTTTTGTATGTTATTTAGTTTTTATCATCGACGAGTATAAGTAACAATAATAGTGCATATGGTGACAATACATTCAATTACGAACCGTATAATTATGTCAGATGGAAACAACAAATGTACAAACAAAATGTGCAGAAAGCAGCTCCAGCCATTGGAATTGCACGATAATAATTAATATGAAAATTGAAATATTTCTGACTATCAGAATAAATGTATAACAATAACAGAGAGATATATCTATAAAAAGGGGAAACGGACATACAATGCAATTATTTGTATTCCTTTTCTCTCTCTCTCAATTCTATTTAATGAAATTTTTTCTTAAAAATGTTGAAGCATGAAATGTCTGAAGAATGAAAAGAACAAAAATTATATGGATCGCTCTATGAAAATATAATTAAATGACACAAGTTTGTTACATTCAATCCGTATGTGAAAATTAATCGATCCATATCATTATCAATACATATAAAAACGACAAGAAGGCGCTAAAAATATTACATTGACTTGCATTTAAGTTGAAGCATAATTAAAAAACACTTACCCTTTTCATGACTAGCGTACGATCTCCTGATTCTTCTTCATCAGGGGTAGGTGGAAGAGGTCGATTTGGTGCTCCACCTATATGTAAATAATAAAATAATATACTTTGTATCTTACAATTGAAATGAAAATTCAATACAGACTACTACGTAGGTAGGTACGAATTTCATTTGAAAAAAATCTATAAATCAATTATGTTTTCGTACTTTTCCAATATAGTCAAAAGCAAAATAAAATGAAAACTTACAAATTACAACAACGTCTCTGTGTGTTTGTTTGTTTGTGTGCGTGTGTCTTTAAAAAATTTTAATACATTTTAAAACATTAAACGATATATTTTTGTATAATCATTAATAAAATGGAATTATAAACAATTCTATTCTAAAAATAAGATTATAATATACAGTTATGTATTAATGAATCATTCGTTTTTAATTTTTTCATCATATGATAGAGCGTAACATTGAATATGAATTTAAAAACTTGTTTAAAATAGTTATAATTTTCAGTGAAAAGTTCCAATGATAACAGATGACTCGACAATTACAACAGCAAACGTTCGAAATGACTAGAGTAATCGCTAATAAAAATATCGCTAATAAATCAAAATATCCTTTTAATTCTTCGATTTTCAAATTATTCATCTATCTTCTATCTAACTGTTCGAATAATACTTAAATCAAAAATACATGCTGACCAATCAAAAAGTAAAGTATTCTCTGTATGAAAAATCATTTTTGACGACTTTGATAAACTACAGAATTACCGTATTAAAAAATAAAGTTTGTTTTCAGAACAGAAATATGTTCTCAGCATATTCCTTAATTTATTATTATATTGAAGCTCCTTGATTTATTATTATATAATATATTATTATATTATTCCTAATTATTGCAAGTAATATCATTCGCTCAATCTTAAATTATATTAATATTTCCAGAATATAACCACTATTCATTTGACGTTGCATTTTTATCATTTTCTTCTCACTTTATTTATTTTATCACAGTTTATTTAATGACAAAATAAGAGAAAATTTAATATTTATGAGAATATATTTATAAAAGAGTATAACAATAATGTATAACAATTTTTTTTCTTTTCCTAAAAAAAAATATATATCCATTCCATAACGAAAGGCAAAAGTAAATTATTTTTACCATAAATGTTGCACAAATGTATTGAAATATTATAGAATACGGTAAAATAGAATCATTTAGAAAAAAAGATTCCTCATCGTTTTTAATAACTTTGAAATATGTTGTCAAGATTATCATTCTGAACAACTTTTCTCTACACATGTTATTGCTGCTGTTCGTTCTTGGTTTCCGAGATGTACGCAAAAAACATATTCCATCCAATTTCCAAAAACCTTACATTTGACTGAAATTGTTGCTTTATATAAAAACAAATAATGTTTATGAGAAAGATTCTTTGCGACTCTAAAGGTAAATTTTGTGAAAAATTTTTAAAGTAGAAATAAAGAATTATTTGAACAATCCTACTGATTTAAGTTGTCGACCGCTTCGCGATGCTAGCTTGAAGGAACCCAATTTGAATCTAATCTACAAAGTGTAAGTATCGAAAATATTTTTTCACATATCCGCATCCCATCAATACGAGTTACCGGTTGCCTTGCAGCAATCAGTCACCAGTTTGTATACTCTAACTGAAACACACGTTTAAAAAAATGATTGTCTCTTTAAAAAGAAGTATCGATATATATACTTTGGATTTCCACAAAAACAAATAATTCTTAATGAATAATTAAGTAAGTTATCTGGAGGAGGCAAGAAAGAAAGTATCTCGCTACAACAATCGTTATCATTTGTCCTTTAGAAAGTATATTTTGGTAAATATCTCGGAAAGCTTGCTTGATAATTTATAGAGAAAAATTGCTTAGAATGAGAACCTTTTATAATCTTTTATAGATATTTTAAGGTCATTGAAATATGAATCCTCTTTTTTAGATAATTACTTATTGTTAGAATACTACATCGATGACATTAAAACATTTGAGTCCGCGAAATCGATAACAAATCGATGAGGAATTTTCATTCCTGAAATTACTCGAATTCGGTGCAGTCAGAGTAAATAAGAGATGGTGAAACAACAAAGCAGCTGTTTCTCAAAGTTTGAAATTAACGAACAATAAATCATTTCACTAAAAACTTATTCTTTTAACACAAATCACTGCAATATCTATAGAAAAAAAACATCTCGATCAAACTTTTATATCGACTGGATAAAAACTGTTTTAAATTAATTAAATGTTTTAAATAATAATTAAAAACGAGAAGAAAACGATTTTAAAACAGAAAAGAATATTACTTTTCATACGCTAGCTTTCGTAAAATTGTAAGAGCTACTATATCTTCTGAATAGATGAATTCCCGAAGTTAAGATTCTATATTCACACTCCTTCC